AAAATTTAAAAATATTATAATAAATTTAAATTTTATTTCAAATTTTAGATTGAAGAATAAATATACAGATTGTGATAGGATGAGTGGTTGACCAATCTTTATATTCAGTTTTCTCAAAGACTAAGCTTCTTATGAAAAAATTGTACTGTATATTTTTAGCTTATTTTTACATGCAGAATCATGCTCTACCTGGATGAACCACCTGTTCCACCATACCTTGTATAAATATATATATATGCTAAAATCAGGTCATAGATACAAACTTACTTCCAAAAGTAAATTGATATATCTTCTAGTATTATTTACAATAGACAGTGCTAATTCATCATCAAATTCATGTACATCATCTAATTCTATTGTGAGACCCACTTGTTCACGATGAGCAATATTAGTGAGTTGTTTTCTATATTTAAATACTTTTTCATCAGTAGAATTATCCATTACAACAAATTCAGTCAAGAAGATTTTCAATTGTTCTAATATGATAAATAAAAATTAAATGATACATTACATATACTTCAATTACAATTCAATGGTTAGATACATGTAATAATATAAATACTCACCTCTAGCTTTTGTGTAATCCTTTAATATTTTTGGTAGCATTTTTCCAGTTTTTTAGTTTCAAATTTAATTTATATTCTTCCTTTGTTTAAATAAAATACTCTGAGAAGTTTGAATGCAATTTGATATTATACTGATGAGAATTAACTATATATATTTCTTAGAGTATTCTTCCCGCCTAAACTGAGACGGATGTTCATAACACTGTAGCATCAATATTTTGATTTTCTATAAGTATGTATAGGCGAGGTATTGTATTTTGTCTGTGCTATAAGTTTATGGTTCAAAATTTTCTATTAATGAATCATGAACTTAATAAAAATAGTATCAATTAAACAGTACGTTTTATTACAATTTATAATTTAACATCGAAAAAATGCAACAGAATTTTTATTCATGGCAGCCAAGAGTAAGGACCTTGTGCCATCTACCGGCATTTCCATAAACTTACATTTTCAACAACCGCTCTGTGAACATATGTATATTGATGCTGTTGCCTTTTTTCCTGTTTTCGCGCGCCCAGATTTGAGTTATGAAAATAACACCATATGTACAGTCCAGATTCTAAATTTCGCCTATGTTGTAAGTTTATGATTTAAAGTTATCTATTAATAAATTGTAAATTTAGTAAAAATAATACAATTTAAACAATTTGTTATATTAAAATCTATAATTTAACATTGGAACATAAGATTCTATTCAAAATTAAATTATACTCTTATTATATATTTTTGGTCTTATAATTGTAATTCCGACATTTTTTATTTGAGCATCTATAAAATTGATTATCCTAAATATTGCATATATAAACATTTCAATTAGAATTTTTGTTAATTCAATTAGAACTAACATACACGCACTGTTGCGATGAACCACTGTCTCTGTGCGTTTGTATTAGTTACACGGATTTCGTCATAACGATGAGCTTCAGTGCATGCTAGGAAAAGGTTAAATTCTCATGTCACATGTTTTTTTTAAGTGTATAAACATTTTTAAATTAGCAAAATGGGGAAGGCAAAGAAGGTAAAGGTTTCCAAAGGAGAAACAAGACATGCAACAAAAGTGGCGTTGGCAGATCAAATAGAAGAAGAAAAAACTGTAAAACCGAAAAACCGCAATAAAATGAGAATTCGTAATGACGACGACGATAAGGTTAAATCTTTATTTTTTTTATTTTGTAAAATATAAATAAATTTTTTAAACTATAAGTAATACCTTACTATTGTGTATATAATTCCCAAAATGAAATAGTTTTGTTGATAGAACTTCGAATACTACTTCAGTTTCAATTGAAACTTATGTTTATACTATTTTACATAATGTAACTTTATTAATTGATAAACTGTAAAGATTTCATTTATATAAATGTTTAATATATTATTTTACTTTCTATGCTACACAGTTTGTGGACCCTTCTCTCACAAAACGAATTTTGTCTCAAGCCAGATGGCAACAAATAGAAATTGAGGAAGAAAGTGGAACTAGGCAGAAGTCAGAATCTACAAAAGAGCCATTAGTAAAGCTTAGTGCAAGTGCTGAACTTAGTGATGCAGAAGAATCAAGTGAAGATGAAAGCACTGATGTCCAATATTATGAAAATATTCAAATAAATGAAGAAGATGAACGTGCTATACAAATGTTTATGTCTAAAGATCCAATACCTACAAAAACATTGGCTGATATAATACTGGAAAAGCTGACAGAAAAAAAAACAGAAATTCAAACTCAATTTTCAGATGCAAGTTCTATCCGTATGCAAGAATTGGATCCACGAATTAAAGCAATGTATGAAGGTGTTAAAGATGTATTGGTAAAATATCGCAGTGGAAAGTTACCCAAAGCATTTAAAATTATCCCTAGTTTAAGAAATTGGGAACAAATATTATATATCACAGAACCATCACAATGGTCAGCTGCAGCTATGTACCAAGCTACTCGAATATTTGCTTCTAATCTTAAAGAAAAGATGGCACAAAGGTTTTTTAACTTGGTTTTATTACCCAGAATTAGAGATGACTTAGCAGAATACAAAAGACTGAATTTTCATTTATATCAAGCATTACGAAAAGCATTATTTAAACCTGCTGGTTTTATGAAGGGATTTTTACTTCCACTATTAGAATCTGGAACATGTACATTAAGAGAAGCCATTATTGTTGGATCTGTAATTGCTAAAAATTCAATACCAGTTTTACATTCTTCAGCAGCAATATTGAAAATTGCAGAAATGGATTACACTGGAGCTAATAGCGTTTTTCTTAGGATATTTTTAGATAAAAAATATGCTCTTCCATACAGAGTTATAGATGCAGTGGTATTTCATTTTCTTAGGTAAATATTTCCTTTTTATTTTAATCGCATAATTTTTTTCAAATTACGATCAAATAGTAATAATAATATTTATTTTTAGGTTTGAAAGAGATCCTAGAGAACTGCCAGTTTTGTGGCATCAGGCATTATTAACTTTCGCACAACGTTATAAAAGTGACATTAGTTCTGAACAAAAAGAGGCTCTGTTAAGATTATTGAAAAAACAACATCATCATGTAATTACAAATGAAATACGGAGAGAACTGCAACATGCTAAATGTAGAGATGTGGAACTCACAGAAGCCAAACCAGAACCAATGATTTGTTAAATATTTATACTCTGTAAAAAAACTGTATTAAAATTACAACTCTCTATGAAATATATACATTAATATTTGTTTGTAAATAATTTTTAGTTATTAAATAAAACATAAATCTTATAAATAAAAAATATGACAAATTACTGAAAGTTTTATTTCGATATTTTAAAAATCAGTCATTATTATTTCCACCTATCTTGTCGATCCCGATACTACATTTAGGTACTTACTATGTACTTAGAATTATTAAAATTTTTCTTTTGAGTGCAGTACAGTTAATTCTTTTATTGTCGTGAAACTTAGTTTTTACGTTATATATTTTATGTTAATAAAAAGAAAATATTTGTTGGTTATTGTACAAACGATACACAATGTACACTAATTTATAATACTTTGCTTTTGTTTTTATTAAAAATTGCTGCATGATTACAATTATGTTGACCAATAAAAATATGCCAAATAAATACAAACACTTTCAAATGTTGAAATCTTTAACTATTTATGGATATAAAAAACATATAGAAAAATAGTGATAACTTTGAGATATTAAAATGAGACGGTATTTCTATGGTTG